ACAAGCATTAATAACTATCTTGCCTTAATTTTTATTTTAAAAAAATCGATTTTTTTATCAATCCTGGTCTTGGTCTTGCAACACATAGGTTCAAGTTCAAGACCAAGACCGATTTTGGTCAACACTAAAGCTATATTTACCCTACTTGGCAAATATCTTATTAATGTTCATATTAAGCTTCGTTTGGTCAAGCTTTCAATGGGTCAGTATTTACGACACCCTTTTCTGTAAGAAATACTAATTAAATTATGAAATATCGATAATTATATTAATGAACTACTTTTAGTATGAAGCGAATTCCTCTAAAAAAAACAACGTATATTGAAATTTCATGTGAAGATTCAGATGTTTTACTAAATCAATCTTAAAAACACTGTACAATATTATATTTCAGCCCTGACTTTATCCCAGAAGTAATTTATGCCTGTGATGACAAGCAATAATGTGGAAGGAGAGGGACATACCCCGAACTACACTTGGTGGGCCGAGGGGGCAATCTGTAATTAGAGATTGATTGATTCTAGGCTCTACACAATTTGCATGCGTGGGGGTCCGCTTACATATAAAGTATTATCTATTTCCAAGAGAAGGATGGTTGGGGTGATCAGTCAGAAATAAAAAGACAAAAATAAATAATAATATTTATTTTAACATTTGCCGACGTTTCGACCGTTTGTTTAGGCCTTCATCAGGGCTGTTCCAAGAGATTGCTGCAATAGAGTGATACATTCTATTCCAGACTGATCATCCCAACCATCCTTCTCTTCATTATTCACGACAGTCAGCCATCAATCCACAATTATTATGTATTTCTCATGGATAAACAGTCAACTAAACTTTTTATCACTTTATTTTATACTGTATTTTGGTTTATTATTTTCAATAATGAACTAATGTAATCGTCCAAAATAATCAAAAACACTCTCCCTCCTCAAAATTTGAAGTACACAGAACACGAAAAACGAATAAAAAAAATTTATCCCCGTACACCGTCCGCTCATTTTCTCCGAGGCTACTGGACTGATTTTTTTTCTTAATTTAGGATCAAAGTTAGAGGTCATCCGAGGATGATTCTCCTACCTCGATGTTACTATTTGCCCTTTCCTTTCAAGATGGCGGCTAAAAAACCTGTGTTGGTATCGACTGTAGCGCCTAAGCGAATAAACAGATTTCAGTGAAACTTGACTAAATCTTCTCCTCAATGCCCTTCGAATATATGTATAGAACATACTTTAGCCATGTTTTCAAGATGGCGGTCGAAAGACTTGTTTAGTATAGACTGTATTAAAATTTATCTATATAACATACTTAAATGAAAAGAAGCTGGAAAAAAGTTACGAGGGATGGTAACATTAGATTTCCTAATAACTCTCAAAGTATACATTTTGTTAAGGAAAAAGGTGCTCCGGGGTGGCGGTCATAAATAAACCCTACTTTGCAGATCTTCTTCCGGGAGATGTGTTCAGCTAGGAGTTTCACTTAGAACTGACCTCTTTAGTATAGACCTCTATCCAAGTTCTAAGTGAAACTCCTAGTTGAACACACCTCCCGGAAGAAGACCTGCAAAGTCGGGTCGAAACGTTGGCTTTTAATAAAATAGTTTTGCCAATATTTAGTCTATTTATGACCGCCACCCCGGACCATCTCCTTCCTTAAGAATACAACGGTCAACTATTAAATATTTAAGACACTTTTTTATTATTATTATTGAGTATTATAATCATATAAAAGTTTACGAAATTTCCTAAAACATAAAAAAAAATAATCGTCGATTCGAACAAATTGGTCCAAAAATATGTTTTTTTAATATTTTCAAACTATTCAAACAATTTTCGAATTTCACAATCAAAACATTTGAAACAACTAAAAAAGATATCTATATTCAAAATACCATCATATAGCAGTAAAATTCTCCATGGTTAAAAATTAATGGATACAGATTATGTCATATCAAAGCATGAAGAATTTCGAATCCTCGCTTCGGTGATAGTAACATTCGTTTCGTTTTTTTATATCCGCATTGAGATATTTCTTCTTGTGGTTCAGGTAGATTAATTTTAATTTCACCATTTCATTTCTTAGAAACGATTAAAAAAATAATACCATTACTCTTTTTTTCAACATGAAAAAACATGTATAAACGAATAAAAAGCTCGGATACATCAAATGGTCAAATAATACAAGAATGATCCAGCAGGTCCTTGTCTAAGCCAAATTCTACTGTTATATCACACATGCTTACTTTGTTTTATGCAATAATATCAGTAAACAGAAAGATTTATTTTATTTTAATTATTATCTTTTTTTTATCTAAAAAATATCGTTGTTTTTAATACCTTTTTTTTTTTAATTCCCTTTTAGATTCCTGAGACTTATAGTATGATAAAATACCTATAGTAGAAAATGAGATATAAAACAAGCCGTCAATGGGAATTATCCACTTGATTAGTTTTTAAAATTTTCTCTCCCGCAAGTAAAAATAGAGTCTTTATTTATCTTTCAAAGATAATGAAATTTGTGCTTGTAGATATTTTTCTACCAAGTTAAAAAAAAAAAAAGAAATTCCTCGCTGGTCCTAATATCTAAGAAAAGATGTAGAGATGTAGAAGTGGAGGTTTTATTGGCTGTTAGGTTATTAAACTGTTATTTTCCATTGCAAAGTTTACTAAAACGGAATTAAGAGACTTGCATTGTTTGTCATAGACAGGTCAAAAGTTGTCACACTAATTGTAAGTGGATACTGTTGGAATATCACAAAAGGAAATTTCATCAAACAATTCACTAATTTAATTTTCTAAAAGGTTAAATAAATGGACGATAGATATCTAAATATTTAAATATAATATCAGATCTAGAGTTATTAAACTACAGTAAATATACTTAAGGTTATAAACGTATCTAAGAAATATTTTTATATTTCACTTCTTCTTTCACACAACTACAATGAAATAGTAGTGGATACTGTTGGAATATCACAAAGGGAAGATTCATAAAATTATTCATTAATCTAATTTTCATTACGATATTTCAGAATAAACGGACGTTGATACCTAATTATGTAAATATAATATCAGATTTATATTAATTAAACTACAGTAAATGTATTTAAGATAATAAACATATGCTTTATACATCCATGAAATGATTTTATATTTTACTTCTTCTTTCACTCAAGTACAATGAAATAATTTTTTTAACAATGTCATTACTTTGATTAGGTGGATTTTAAATATTTTTTCAAACTTAAAAATATTTTAAAAGTTTACATTTAGTTAAATTTCATTTCATTTCCTTGAAAATATGGATTCAAAAATGTTCACGATCGCAATACTTACTCTTACTGTATATTATATATGTACTTAAGTAAAAGTAAAAACGAAGGCTATTCTCACCGGTTACAGACATATTATTAATTTCCTTCTTATTTTACCGCAATAACGATCCTATCCATTTTTTCCCAACTGTTGTCCCAATAGTTAAAAACCTAGGAGTAATCTCTGATTAGATCTGGAATAACCATATCTGCCAGATTATCCGAAAACCCATAACCGTCAAAACCACATAGCTCCTTGTAACCTCCCTTGTTTCCCTCCACTTCGACTACGGTTGCTTGTTATATGGAGGGCTGTCTGCGAGGCCGAAGAGAGACCGTGGAGACTCGTGAATTGCTTCATGAGATACAATTCATGTTTCCTGCTGGTGTATCGAGTTCAAGTAGCTCTATTTTACTTCCCAGTGGCTATTCTTGGTGTTTTCTTTTTCTAAAGCCGCAGAACCAAAACTTAAATTTTACCTATCGTCCCAACCTTCTGTGTTGCCTGAGGCTACCCGAAACTACAAGAGAATATTGACCGTATCCACAGGTGGGCAGAAAAAAATAAACTGAAGCTGAACGCAGATAAAACTAAGGCAATCCTCATCGGCTTCAAGCACCTCATTAGTTCTCTTCCTTTACTTTACCTCAAAAACCGTCTTATTCATTTCTTTCTGACAGTCAAAATCTCGGATTATTCTTTGATCATAACCTCTCTTGGAATAATCACGTTTCCCAGATTACCCGAAAATCTATTCAACGTTTCCGTGAATCTATTCCAAAAAGCACCAGAGAGCTCCTTGTGACATACCTCGTTTTCCTCCACTTCGACTACTCTTGTTTGGTGTATGGAGATCTGTCCCCAAAACTGGATGAGAGACTGAAGAAAATCACGAATTGCTTCATAAGATTCATCTTTGGGGTTCCTAGGCGTTCCTATGTTTCCTGCTTATACACCGAGTGGACGAAGATGCTCTATCCTACTTTCCGACGGCAATGCTTTCTTTGTATTTTCCTTTTCCAGGTCGTCAGAACAAAAAACCCTCCCTACATCCTAGAATCTATATATTTATATATCTCCTCTCATAAAACCACTCTTTTCAGCGAATCCTTTGTCATTCGTGCTACCTCCTTTTGGAACTTCATACCTATCTCTATACGTCTAACCACCTCCACTAATGCCTTTAAACAATTCGTATTCCTTCACCTACTGTACATTCAAACTTCCACAAGCTTGAAATAATTTATAGACTATTTAATTATAATAGCTTTCCAACAGTTAATTGATAAGAGTCATTTTACTTTTATTTTTTGTATATGATTGTATTTTCCTTAGGATTCTTTGTATATATTTGTATTATAGCTACATGACAGAATGATGTATATATTTTTTGAACCCTGCTGTTATTCTAAGGGGACTCTAGTCTCAGAATAAAATTATTTTTCATTCATATATTCCCTTTCATAAAACTACTTCCTTCAGCAAATCCTTCGTCATTAGTGCTACCTTGGAACTCTTAAAACTTATCCTTAGGTATATCGTAGAAACTATAACTATACGGATATATTTATTCACAAACATACACTTGTATGTATTACATACACAGAATATTACTTAGTATCCAAGGATTTAGGAAAACTGTATTTCATCATTTATTTATTTTATATAAATCCTATATCCCATGATATGAAGGCAAGGAGGTTAAGATGGGCGGAAGCTCGTAGCAATCCGTAATAATGAATGCCTCAATAGTAGGCAAAAGACCACGTGAAAGAGCAAAAAGCAGATGGATAGATAGAATCAACAAAGATGCAACAGAGCTGCGTGCAGATAAATGGAAAAAAATAGCTCAAGACAGGTTTGTTAGATGGAGCAGGCTTGTTAAGGCGGCAAAAGATTTACATGGTCTGTAATGCCAAAAAAAACATTAAAAAAAACAGAAATCCTAATTGCCTCTCCTAAAATTTGAAAAGCAGTCCTTTCTTTAAGCATTATCTTTGAAGACGTTTTTACTATATTTATCCCTCTCGCCCTTTCTGAAATCTTACAAGCGGTACAACGATTCAACGAGTTAATAACTACTTTTCTTTATCACTTTCCCTTATAAAGAGATTCCCTCTCAGTTAGATTTCTTGTGACTTTCAGCTTTATTGAAGTATCTTACAAAGCTGGAATTTTATAAAATTTTATCTCCATGATAAAATTTTATTTTAAATTGATGTGCTTACACTAAATACATCTAAACTGTATTTCGCTAAGAGATAGCTTAGATTATAGTTATATATAAATATTATTAGGAATCGGTTTAGCTAGACATCTAGGAAAATACTACTTTGAATATTACTTTCACTTACATATATATGTAATAAAGTATTGCATCGAGAAAATTCCTGAATCTGAGTTTTCAACGGATATACACGTTTTGTGGTCCCCTGAGTCCAAATATGCAAGTCTCGAAAAATGGTCTGTGTGTCTGTGAACAGCCTAGCTCAAAAACGAAAAGTCGTACTAGACTTAAATAGCGTATTTAAGGTTTTTATAGTTCCGATGTGACAGCAACTTTTTCATTAAAATCGCCTAACCGGAAGTGCCACTTTATATCAACAGTGAAACACATTTTTACAATTTTCTCCAAAACGATTTTGATTAAACTCGGTGTATCATTGTATTATTAAGTAGTCTTTAATATCGTTTAGGTTTTATCTCCGTTGATGTCACTTTACAGGGCTTAAATGGCCTATGTTCATATGCGTCTTCCTCTAAAATACCTTTAATATGGTTCATTTCAAATAATTAACTATTTTGCATTGTTAAAAGTTACGAAAAAATGCTAAATATAACTTTTGAAAGAATTTGATAATTGAATAAAGGAGAAAAAAATAGAAATGCTTATCCAAGTTGAAAATGCATCTCACGAAATAACCGTCAGAATGTAAATGTATAACATATGGTTGGAAAGCCGAGAATTTTAGAAAACATAATATCAAATAAATAAGGGTATATAAGTAACGAAGAGTGACGAAAAAATATAAATAATAATTTCAGTAAACAAACATTATTTAACGTAAATCACTTTTTTTCTGAGGAAATTAAATTATATTTTTTTACTAAATATAAATTTTTTTTTCTGTTAGAATTTTTTTTTTAAATCCGCCGGATCAAGCCATTAATTGTTTAAAATACTATTTCACTGTACTAGTGAGAAAGAAAAAGAATTTTTGTAAAATATTTCATGGATATGTTTATAATATTAAACTTAAAATTATTATGTTTAATAACTTTAGTCCGTTTATTCCAAAAAATCATCAAGTAACGTTTTAGAAAATTAAATTATTGAATAATTTGATGAATTTTCCCTTTGTGAAATCCCAACATTATCCACTCGCAATTAGTATGACCTAACCATGGCAGGCAATAAAAATCTCGTAATTTCATTTCAGTAAACTTTACAGTGGAAAATAATACTTTAATTACTAGTAGTCTTACAATCCATAATGATGTATCGGTTAAATATTCAGATATACTTTCAAATCTCTCTAGGCATATATTAACCTTTCGGTTGACAGAATGACTCATTCCAATTTCTACATTCTTTATTGTTAATTTTAGTGATGTTTCTAGTGGCAAAATAGATATCTTTATTCACAGTTCTATATTTGAACACTGCAATCACCTACTCTGGAATCTACTTACTCACTGTCTGTATAGATATAACTTTTTCAACTAGAAATATCACTAAAATGACATTACTCAAAAATGTCATTCTGTTAACTGGAAGGCTCAGAGACTGAATTTGTGTAATTTGACTGTGAAGTTGTGACTACCGGCGATGTAATAAAAAGACTTTTTGTAATTTTAATGGTCTTGATTTGTTATCTGTACGCTTTAAGCTTTAGCTCCGTTTAAAATGCAATTAAAAAATTTTATAAATGCCCAACATGCCCAGAAAATAATTTCTATTCAAAGTAGAGCGGCAAGTGAAAGTTGTACGTTGCGCGCACCAGATTTTTTAGATAGATATAAATAGAAAATAACTTTATCCTGGGACAAAGTCCCTTGAGAAGAATTTATTAGGACAAAATTAATAGATTGCATCTGACCTAAAGAAAATCAATACAAATAAATAAATAATGTAAAGAAAATATAAGGTAAAAATTCTACATACAAAACAAACGAAGCTATATACAAAACAATTTATTCTATGAAAGAATGCTTAAAGGTATTTGCAGTGATAGACCATTATGCACTTTTATACAGACTTTTAATAAAACAAAAAAGAAAAAAAAAATATTAAATTCTACTTATTATTTCTTTCTTATTTCAGCTTTCTCAATTTCTTCCCTCCTTCCTTTCATTCTTTTCTCTGTTTTTAACTCTGTATTATATTATACATTTTCTGTACATCTTGATAGACTTTACAATATCTCAATTTTCTATCTAACTACTCCATTCTCAATGTTTTAATTTTACTATTTATTTCCATTACTTATATAACTTCATATTTCTTTTTTATGTTTTACATTTTATTCTAAGATTCGCATTGTAACACTTTTGTCACCCTTTTTGATTATGCCTACTTCATCATTCCACACTTTGTAACGGTTTTTATTATTTATCTCTTAGCTCTTAGTCATTATTCTAACAATTTCATTTTACTTTATATTTATCTATTTTATTTTTTCTAATTTTTAAATTTTTATTATCTTTTTTACCATCATTACTTATGTTTCTCATACCTTGTTATCTAGTTATTTTCTTAGCCCTGATGAAGACCTGAACTTCAGGTCGAAACGTCGGCATATGTAAAAAATAAATATTAACATTTATTTTTGCCTTCCTTTTTTGACTGACCACCCCAACTATTCTTCTCTTCATTATCCACGACAGTCAACAAATTACCAATTATTAAATTCTTCATTAAAATAAGTTTTGTGTTTCTGTTGAGAAAATAGAAAGCCGAATCTGACAATATTAAGTGCCCGATTAATATACACACGTTATCATTTAAATGTTGATTAATATATATATATATATACATCATCATCGTTTCTTAACGTAACGACAGGCAAGAATTTAGTGCTGTATAAAAGATAATAGGTATAAACAACCAATATATGCGTTCAGTGACATCAAGAGTAGGAACATCTTTACCCTATAAGAAAATTAATATCTCTAGCAAAGAACAGCATTGATATTTGACAATGAAAGGCATGAAATAAATGTATGTTAGCAGCTATCTGACTGGTTTTGACATAGGAATTGGAATAGGAGGGTTTTGAATGTGAATATGGAGGGGGATGTCGAATTTTGATAGGGAGGGAATTCCAGAAATTGACAGAGCGAGCAATGAAGATTTTTTATTATTGTTATGGATGCTGAAATGTTCAAATGATGTTTATCTAGAATTTCTAAATATTTATTAGCCGTAAGTGCTTAAGTTTAATGAAATGTTAGGTAGCTCCTAGATTACAGGTGCTATCGTTGAAGACGACTAGTTAAGATATATTAAACTACCTAGATATATTAGGTAGTAATAAATCATTAAAAGCTGTATGGCATCAACTGCAATTAAGTTGATAAATACGAACTGCACGAAAGGAGAGAATATTCTAAATATCGGTGAATTGCATCGAGCATGGATTTGTGCAAAAGGGACAGAGGTGGGAAGAAGGCAGGCGTGGGCGTGCGGAGGGCTATAAATAGAGGTTGAGGATGGCTCAGTTAGAGATGGCACTCGATTAACCACCGCTTTGAAGTCCTCCTTTCCTCGACATTTAGATCTCGTCCCGCCCCCCTCCTCTAATTCCCTCACAGCCGGCGGTTATCGCTTCCAGTCTCAACCGTTCTCGAGTGGCGTCCTCGCACGCTAGAGGAGTTAACGAGTCCCAGGCTGTTAGGGCTTTTGGAGTAGCGCTTTTATTGATAACACTAGCCAACAGCAAAAATGCTTCCGGATTAAAAGTAGCCTATTTGTATTCCATTATGTTCACAAAAGACCGATTTAACCTTTACAAAGTTTAGTTAGCCCTTATTTCAAAGATATTGTTTAATTTAAGTGGTGTAACATTGGGACTGGGTGGCTAACTTTCGGACAGCGTGTAAAATTCAGTTTTTGGTGATTCTGTGATGTAAACACTGGTTCAGTCTTCTAAAAATTGCCAGACCAAGGCCAACACCACCTATCTAATGCAAGACTAAGATCTGGTAAAAAAATCGATTTTTTTGAATAAAAATCGAGGCAAAATAGTTACTAATACTTGACAATTTTAGTTACTATATGTAAAGAATTGGTGTAACCAATATACTTTTGTATTTAAATCTTCTAATTTTTCATTCAGACTTAGTTAGATTTCTCGTATCTAAAAAATTACAGTAATATCTCTCTAGTAATAAGCTGAGACAACTGCAAAACAGTTACGAGAGTCTTGCGCAAGGCCAAGAACATGAACAAGATTGAGATTGCAAGACCAAGACTCGTCCCGGTCTCGCAATTGGACAACACTAATGTAGGCGTGTACTGCGGCAGTTTGAGAACTGTAATTTACTAAACCCGTTGTGCAGTTAGGTTTTATTTATTTTCATTATTTTTTTCAAAATTCTTGTTTTCATGAAACTTTTGCTTGTGCTTCAAGAACTACGTACATCAGATTACTGAAGTATTAATACCGGCCAAGAAGAAATAGGCTTCTAGTTGGAAATGGCCTTCAACGCCTGATAAAATTCATTACCCAAAGGACAAATTGGCCAGCAAGACATCTTCAAATTGAAAGTGCTGCAAGTTTACAGCGATCTCTTTGCTTCAGTTAACAAAAACTAAAATTGTAAACTAAATCATGTTTTCTTGCCGTTTCTAATATAGATAATTCACTGTCCTAAGTCTATCCCAATCAATGGGGTAAGATTAGCACAAATTTAAATTTATTTTTTTTATTTTAATTAAAACACTCTTGTTTGTAGAGGTATTGTTCTGCCAAGAGGAAGACTGACTTTTCTGGTCCTCCTCTTCCTCGCCTTTAAGGCAGTACGCGGTTTTTCCTGGCCACGGAATGTAGGCGGCGATTTAAAAGATTCCCCCCGCACCGGGAGAATGCGAACTCGTGACTATTTTTTATCGTTCTCTCATATATAAGGTTGCTGTGCACACTCGTTAGCCCATTCGGCCACCCCGCCCACGAGGAAGACTGACCTTACATATTAATAATTTTTTCGCCATTTTAAGATTCAAAATAAAGAGAGAAGACGACTAAAACCTTAAAAATGTTCCAAAGTTACAGCATGTTTAAAGAGAGGGTTGTTCCAGACAAGTGCTCACGCGACAAGGAGGAAGAAATATTTAAAAGCACTGTAAGTAAACAATTTTACTGACAATATCAAAGTTTAAGCAATTGATTTTCTTTTATTTAACGACTTAAATATTGTATAAACAATTATGATGTAAATGCGTTTATTTCCATTGCATAAAGACAAATATTTTTACTTGTTCTGGAGATTTAGGGAGATGTGCTTTTGTATATACTAATAATCATATATCAATAAAACAAGAGCTAAGATCTAAGATAAATGTTTGTCTGTTACTCAATGAATTTTCTTACCCAATGAACAATCAAAATCAGCTATTTTCAGTCGGCAAGAAAAAAAAAAAAAAACTATTATTATTATTTTAGTTACTGTGATAGCTGTTACATATGGTATCCTATTATAGTTCATGTATCTAGATTATTGATTGATTTGAAATGATATCATCATATGTTGTGAAAATAGATTGTTAATACTTAAAAAACTAATATATTTAAATAATTTAATTATATGAGAAGTATTTGAATTAAAAAAACCTATTACTCAAAGAGCTCTATTCATCATAAGGACGAAAAATGGTTTATATCTACATAAAAATATAAGTGGTTGTTAGTGTCGATGAATATTGAAACTTGGTGATGTATCTGGGTGTCTTCCAGGAATCTTTTCTGTTCCATACATCTATACACGTCAATATTTACAACCTTCTTGGAATTTTGTGTTGTATAACAAACACACAGAAGGTAATTTAATGTATAATCAGAAGAGTTTCATTCTTGTGTAGTGTTCTTAATTTTTCATTAAAAACTTGTTGAACAACAAAAGGCCACGTTGACTGGCTGCCATATTGTACAGTACTGTCATTCTGATTGAGTGCCCAGGTTATGTCAACTGGACAAAATGGTGCCCAGAGGGTTTGGGGCCTTGGCCTACCCGAGGATGTCCAGAAAGGGGTCGCATGGCGTATGAAGTTGCGCCATCCGAATGTTGAGAGGGTTACATTTTTACGAAGTTACAAATTTTTGAGTAAGGTAACACATTTTTATGAAGTTAAACATTTTCGAGAGAGGCGCATATTTTCATAGTTTTGAAATTTTAATGTTCTCCTTAAGAAAAAAAAACAAAAAAAAAACTACCCAAATGAAAATAGAACTATTAAAATTGTATTTTAGATGAAATTGTAGAATACCAAGTTTATGAATAAGTCAATCTGGCCATCTAGATAGTGTTGGATGGTTTTAAAATGTGTAATATTAAAGAACAACAATGGTTTCAATCTGAATGCCTCAACAAGATACAAAGTGGAAGGCCAAAAAGCAGATGGATAGATGGAATCAACAGAGATGCAATAGAGCTGCTTGCATATAGTTGGAAAGAAATAGCTCAAGATAGATAGAGATGGAGCAGGCTTGTTAAGATGGCTAAAGATCTACAAGAAAAAAAATAACTTTCAATAGAGTGAAATATTTGTTAAAAAAAAGGTGAAATTAATTAAAGTGGTGCTGTCCAATCACATTGAATTGCTTGAGACACAGCATACTCGTCAATCCCTTTTGGAAGTAGGGGATACACGTTTGGTTCATTATTGAAAATAATCGACCAAAAAATTCAAAAACTTAATCCCCTCTCAAAATTTGAGTTTTCAAGTTTCAGGATACGTAGAATTCGAAAAAAAGAATAAAAATTGTTTTGTCCGTCCGTCCACGCATATTCTCCGAAACTACTAGACCGATTTTTTTTCTTTTTAAATTTGGATATAAAATCAGAGGTCACCCGATGATGATCCTCCTTCATTGACATTACTATCAGCCTTTTACTTTCAAAATGACAGCCTAAAAACCTGCGTTGCTATTGACTATGCTGCCTAAACGAATGTACCGATTTCAATGAAACTTCGCTAAAGTCATTTTCTCGAAGCCCTTTAAATTTATCTATATAACCTACTTCAACGAAAAGAAGGTGGGAAAGAAGTTACGAGAGATGGTAAAATTAAATTCCGAATAATTCAAAAACTTTACACTTTTTTGTTGATAGTGTTATGTTTTTTGTTAAAGTTCGTTAAAATCGGACAAATAGGAGCAAAGATATGGTCTTTAGTTTTTTTATATGTTCTACTGCAAATATATCCTTTGTTTTGATTTTTAAATTTTGAATGTGTTAATGAAGTAATGCTATTTTTTTAGCATATTACTACTAATGATTAAAAAAAAAAGGTTAGTCCAATAAGTGGAATCACCTTATTTATTTTTCTTTGTAACTAGGAATGTAATGTTACTTTAGATGTATAATTATTTGGAAATAATAAACCATTGTGAAATAATTTGCAGCGTTTTTGACACAGACCTACGTTTTCATATACATTATATATATATAATTTTTATTTTCTGATCAAATTTTGTTTTATCACAATTTAATCATTATTAGTTATGTAAAACCGTACCACTCAGTAAATTATCATTATTTTTAACCAAAGCAATAAACATCAAAGATCGATTTGAATTCTTATTTTAAATCAAATATATTTAAAAATCAATATCAAATATTTAAAAATTTTTTTTGTCATTAAATTTTAATCTGCACCTGTCGGCATCTGTTGACAATCAGCAGATTGTCTGATAGAAGTAATGAAACTGACATGTCAGGAATGGGGAAGGATTAAATTAAAAATCAAATATAATATTTATCACATGATTTTATGGAAAAAATAATTATCGATTTCAAACCCAGCCTACAACTAAATGAAGATTGAACAAAATACATGGTAGTAAGCTGAAAACATTATCACATTATAAATTTTGAACCACATAATTGTTTCAGTTTCTCTTGAACCTTTTCTTTCACTTATTTTTCCTATACTTTTTCTTCATTTTTCTACAACGGAAAGGTATAAATTATGAAATTATATTTGACGTAAATTTATTTATTTATGGTAGGATTATACGCCATTTTCAAGTAAACTTTCTAGATAATTACCTAAACCGCAAGTTACCGTAGCTGATTTTTATATTTATCATTAGCACAATGTTTAAAAAACATTTTGATTAAAGTAAGACCTTGCCGGTCGTTGGTGTAAGAACGTAACATACGAAAATACGGCATTTTAGAAATGATAAAGAAAAACTTATTTGACTCTTTTAACAAACTATTATTTTCAAAATTCAGCAAAAACACCTAAAATATATTTAATGATTTATAAGGAGTTGCATGATTAATATGGTGGAATCAGACTCTTTATTTATATTTCATTGAAAATCTTAGAAATTAGTATCTTAATTCGTGACCAAATTTTATTAATATATGAGTTAACTATGTCACAGATTAGAAACGTAGGAACTTTGAATTATCAGAACATTTCGAAAATAGTGGTTTTTGCCGTTCTCGAACCACCGTGCGGCATTACGATCCTGTGAGGGTCTTGACGCAACCCTCTACCGTCTCTGTATCAGCTGTTGCTAACCACTGCTACGTGACCTAACCTGGTGTTACCTTAATCGACTTCCAACCTGAATCCCCTTGCAGGGTTAAAATTAATTTTCCTTCATGCTTTCATATCTTAGATTTCTAACTTTCTCTTTTCAAACTACCATACCGTAAGAAGGAATAACTTTGAGACAGCGGTTAAGTTAAAATTTAGTTTGTGGTGGGTACACTGTGTTGGTTCAGTCTGCAAAAATGTGCTTTGTGTAGGAATGTACTGCGCTACTACCTTGCTGCAGTTTGAGAACCATAGTTCACTACACTCGTTGTGCAATTAGGTTTAATTTATTTTTATTCTTTTTTTTCAAAATTCTTGTTTTTATGAAACTTTCGCTTGTGCCTCAAGAATAGTGTGACGCAAGAGTAGTGTGCCGCAAGATAGTAGCTTAATACATGCTGACTAACCCAAACAGTGTATCCACCACGGAATCACCACAAACTAAATTTTAACCGCTGTGCCGAAGTTACACACCCAGTCCAAAATTGCTCTGAAGCCAAGGCCCGAAAATCGACCTGATCGCAGGCGAAGGTTTGATTGTAAATTACGAAATTGTATGTTATTCTGAGTAAAAAGAGATCCTTGTCTGTCGTTCCGTAGCCGCTGCTTTCAAAAATGGGGGCTGATTTAAAGAATATTTGGCCAATAATTTGAAAATGGAAACGGTAACTCTACTACGAAAAATGTGAGAAAAGTTTTTATTTTTTTAACTTGTATATATGGAGTTAGACATGTAAAAAACAAAATTGCTAACGCGGGCCACCAGGGACGTACATTTTACAGCCAAAAAAGACAGATTTTTTCGATATTTTTTGTTTTTTTCACCAATAACTCCTAAACGACGCATCAAAGCGGAAAATGCATTCATTAATAAACCAAAGAAAATTAAATTTTATGTCAGACGAGTACATAAACTTTATAATTTTTTTACGCGGTACGGTATAAAACAACGGTCAACCAATGCGGATTTTTACCAAAATTGACAAATTACTATAAATGAGCCTGTAACTTGGAAATGAGTTTCCTTAGAGGAAAAACCCATAGAATCAAATTTGTAGAGCATCAAATTTTACGTCGACTGAGTACTGACATTTTTATTTTACTCCAATTATATATCTCGAATCGGGATTCGTTATTTCTTTTTAAAATTCGGTATCTTTCAACACATCGTTTACCAAAACCCTTTGCCGTTGACAGGTGGAAAAGAGGCATATGCTGCAAGTAACAGACTCTAAACAGAAATAACTCAGTAGAGTAGACACCCATACTGTTGATATATTGAAAATGTCGTTTACCTTCATTATCAATTTCTAACCATCGGGATATTGCCGATTTTGTTCCCAGTAAGTGACCTACATTAAATTAGTTGGTACTCAGTTGACGCAAAATTTGATGATCTACAACTTTGATTCTATGGGTTTTTCCTCTAAGAGAACTCATTTCCAAGTTACAGGGCCATTTATAGTCATTTTTTGACAAATTTGCTAAAGATGCGCATTAGTGCGGTAAACGTGGTTTATCGCGTAACAAAATTATAAAGTTTATGTACTCGTTTTATGCGAAATTTAATGTCCTTTAATTTATTAAACTATACATTTTTCGTTTTGACGCATCCTTTAGGAGTGATAGGTGAAAAAAAAAAATATATCGGAAGAATCGGACTTTTTGTGGCTGTAAAAAGTTTTCCGGCCCTTGGTGGCACGCGTTAGCAATTTTGTTTTTTACATGTCTAAACCCATATATACAAGTTAAAAAATTAAAAACTTATCTCACATTTTTTGCAATGGATTTCCCGTTTCGATCCTTACATTATTGGCCTAATATTCTTTAAATCAGCCGCCATATTTGAAAGCAGGGGCTCTGGAACTGGAACGAGTAATCTTTTTTCAGAATAACATACACTTAATTTACAATCAAATTTTCGCCTGCGATCAGGTCGATTTTTGGGTGCTGGCTCCATGGCTAAAATTTATCCCATCTTACTGTAGTAGAGCTAAAATGTCCGAATAGCTGTCAGTTTTATTTATTTTTATGGCATAATTTAAAAAAAATGGGATTAGTACAAACGTTTCTGAGATTCCTTGGCGCGCCATCTTGGAATAGCGAAAGAGAACTTTCATATTACTTACCAAATATCTGAAATATAGTGCCTACTTGATACATGGGTTTTATATAGCTATTCCTAACAATAATTTCTTCTGATTAATCACACCGTTCCAATAACTTTTTCTTTTCCTTATTATAAGATAACAACCTCCATTGCTATATTGTTGTTCTGTTTGATATTGAAAGCAGTAAAGCTAGATGTTGAATTGAGAAGAAGGCTGCCGATGATGGAGGATGAGTGAGAGGTACGAGAGGCGGTCGCTGCCGCAGTGGAGCCAGTACAGCCACCAGCACCACCACCACAACTACTCCAATGGTGGCACCCCTGCTCCCAGGGTCCACCGCCACTCCATCACCGAGCCCTGTGATCTAGTTGGCAAGGTAATTAATTAGTCTATATTACAGAACAGCTGTTGGCTACTTTTTATAATTAAAGTTATTTAATCAATGCATTTATTGAACTAGTATAGTCTTAAACCGTAACCGCAATAATGGGTGGAAATTAGGAAGGTCCCTCACGGAGATATTACTGCAATTTTTTAGATAGAAGAAACCTAACTAAGCCTGAATGAAAAATAAGAAAAGTTAAATGCAAAAGTATATTGGTTACACTAATTCTTTACATATATTAACTAAAATTGTCAAGTGTTAGTAACAATTTTGCCTTGATTTTTATTCAAAAAATCGTTTTTGAAAATTTTTCTTACCAGCCTTGGTCTTTGTCTTGCAAAGTGTTTGAGCAAAACCGATTTTGGACAACACTAATAATGAACCATTGTGATCGGCCAAAG